ACATACTCCCTTCCCAGACACATACACAGAGATACATACACACACACACACACACACACACACACACACACACACACACATTTCCTAACCTTGCTTTTGCCAAGCCTGTACACCACATTTTTTTTTTTTTTTTTTTGCAAGATTTTCTTTGACCTCTGCTGGGGTGGAGAGTAGGGAGAAATTTACAAGCAAAGGCCGAGGGCAGAGTCCATGGACATCCAGCCAGCCTCTTGTCACACACAGCTCAGGGGTGTACGGGGAAGATAATCTGTCAGCAGCCCGGCCCCCTGCACTGTGAGCAAGCTGGGCTGTGTGTGGTACAACGCAAGCTGTTACCTCTTGTCCGGATCGATACTGCAAGAACATGGACACATTAGTTCCATTAGGACCTGGGAGTCAAATCTCGTGCACACGGAAACCCAGCATGTACAGGATCTGCAGCTGTTGGGGAAGGGGCTGGGAGTTCTCTGTGTATCACTTTCCCTGGTGGGTCCAAATTCCCAGGGTGGCAGTTGTCTCTCGGAGCCCATTATAAACTCTTCCAGTTTCTACCCAAACTCATCCTTGTTGTCTGCCTGGTGCCTGCCCACACCCAAGCTTTCAGGAGACAGTTTTCTCCAAGAAGTCTGGACCTATAAAAACGAGAACAGAAAAAGCCCAGGAAGTGTCTGATTGCAGAGGTGCTCTAGCTGAGCCTCTGCCCTCCCAGCCTGGTCTCACAGAGGGCAAAATAAAGAGACCCTCCCAGCAGCCAGAGGGGTGCACGTAGCCTGTGGAGATGGGGTAGGATGCCATGTGACTGTAATCCTGAGCCCAGCTTCAGAAAGCCATCTTCTCAGACTCCAGGGAAGTGCCGCTAGCGAGGTTGACAAACATCTCCTGCCCTCCTCTGGGACTGCAGGCCTGTCATGGCTGTGCAGGAGCCAGATGGGATGTGGATCTGTGGGGATGTGTATATGCGAGTGTGTGCGCGTGCGCGGGTGTGTACGTGCATGTACACACAGGGGGATGTAAACAGCCCTGGCTCCTGTGTGAGTTCCTTTGTACTTGGCGGGGTGTGTTTAGTGGGAGGAGAAATCCCATGTGTCTAAGGAGAAGAGGAGGGTGTGTGCACACTCACTCGTGCAAGTGCACACACGCCATAGCAGTTAGGCATGTGGGAACTACGGGAAGGAAGTTCTGGGGAAAGGAGGTGCGTCCTGGTTAGGGGCAGTGGTCTCTGTTATGGGAAGAGGGGACCAGGGAAATTTTGTGTTTGTGGGTGTGTATGCATGCATGGCACAGTGCCCTACAGGGAAGACACAGAGAAAGGTCTGAGAGCCTGTGAATGTTTTCAGGTAGAGGAGCCTGGCAGCTCCCCATCCCACAGGCTGGTACACACTGAGTGCCGGGTGAAGCTCATTTCCTGTGCTAATTACCAGCCCTGTGTTTACACAGGACCCAAAATGCAGCTGATAGCAGAAACTCCAGGTCTCAGCAGCTAGAGTCTACGGTGACTCAGCAGGGCAGGAGAGTGTGAAGGGAGGTCCCTGCCTTGCTTCTTTTGAAGGGCACATGAAATCAATTTTCAACATGAATCTACAATTCCCACCCATCTGTGCCCTAGGGGGGGAAGCTTGCTTTCTGTGGTGTGGGCCTGGAACTGAGGCTCTGGGCCCCGTCCCCAGCCCTTTTTACAGTCACATCCTCTCCCTTGCTCTGGAGCCATCCAAGCACTCAGACTGCTCCTTCGTGACAGCTTGAGGATTTTGTGGATGCATTTATACGCCTTTCAACTCGCCTGGCTTGCTCTGCTTTGAGTTGGAGTTTGTCAGCCCAGCCCCAGGAAGTGTTTATGAGCTTTTTCTCTGTTTCATCCTGTTTTGCTTCATTTGGTAGGCGCAGAAGGGTAGAGAGAGCTTGGCTAAAGCACCTTGTTCTTTGTGTGAGGGCTCGGGATCCTCAGCCTGGTAGCCCACACTGAGTGAGTAGGGGAGCTTGGCCACATGTGACAGGGACAGAGGACAGGGATTTCTGACCACCTCAACAGGGCGAGAAGCTGCATTCTGTGAACAAACTCATTGGTATATGACCTCTTCAGAGGCTGTCTTGCCGTGTTCATTCAGGTGGTGCCCAGTTCACAGGGCACGTGAGATGACCCCCATTTAGCCACAGTGCACTGCATTCCATGCAAGGGCCATGACTTCGATCCCAGCTGTACACAGTACCCCCACTGTTTTAGGAAAGCTCTGGACCTTGTTAAATCAGGTGGCCCAAATGCCTACTTGGGTCCCTGGTTCTGCCTCTGTTCTTCTTGGTCTAGACTAAAGGAAACAATAGCAAACATTTCCTGGACACTGGGTTCAGTGAAACAGCCTGGAACCAAGTCTAGACAAAGTAACTTTGAAGACTGTACATGACCCTTGGTGTGGCCAGAAGCACAGGTACTAGAGAAGGCCCTGAGGGTCATTCAGATGTGAAAGCTGGAGGTGTTGTGGTTTATTTTCCAACATGCGAAACGCTAACTAACGCCTAACTCGACATAAAGCCACAGCTAAGCAGAGTCCCAAGACGAGGGGGACTCAGATATTCTGATGGGATCATTTTCCAGGTTTTGCCCTGACATGCTACAGAGCCATCATGGTGATGAGGGCTTCCTCAGTCTCTGCCCAGATGGAGTGAGTCCCTCTGTCACCCTTGGGCAGGCAATTCACAGTCACTAGTCACATAGAGACCATCAAACAATAGCAAGACTCTAAAGACTGGGCTTCTTTATTAACTGCTGGAACTCTTCTGAGCTGGTGCCTAAAGAACAAGGAGGAGTTTGCGAGGAACCCCGGGGACCCAGGTGGAAACGGATAGACAGTGAGGTCTAGAATGATGTCCTTTGGAGGAACGTCCAGCTCCTGTTAGCCCAGTTCCCTGAAGAGTCAGCCTGCCATGCTAAGCATTGTAGCACCCTATTATAGATCTACGGTTCCAGGCCCAGGCATGAGCAGGGGACTGAAAACCACTGTAATGACAGCATGTGGTCCAGGCTGGGCTCTACCCTGCAGAAGTGGGCTCCAGGGCAGATCCTTGTGCATGCCAGACAGACTTTTCTTGGTGTCACGTGTCCACCTGCTTGACAAGACCTGGAAGGATGCCAGCTAATTCCTACTTCCCTGCTTGTCCTCAAAATGATCCCATGAATCATTCGGCGCCACAAGCCTTAGAAGATCCTCACTGCCATCTGAACTGGAGTCTCCTCACTGGAGTTTTTGTTTTCAGGAAAGGGTAAGCCTCACCCTCTCTGTCTGTCCCAAGCACCCTCAAGTGTACCTTTGTCTCCATGCCCATCCTAGAATCAAAATCTTCTCCCTGTTACTTAGGGGAAGACAGCTGCTGCTCCCTGAGATCCTGGATGCAGGAAGACCAGCATAGGACCTACAGATCTGAGAAGAGGATGCCCAACACTCACTCGCTGAGGGGCCTTGAGAGAAATGGCTTTCAGGAGTGAGATCTGGCTGGTCTCGTTCTTACCCCTAATCCTGCCCCTCCACCCCACCCCCCATGCAATAGCTGGAGCCATTTTCCTTTGCCTCTGACATGAAGGCATGCTTGCCCAAGGCTGGCACCAGCACCAGGTCATTTGTGAACTGGCGAGTGTGACAGACACATCGGGGCTGTGCACCCTAGTCCTTGCATAATGTCACCTAACAAACAGGAGTGTTGTATGGCTCGGGGACCCAGCTCTTCCTAAGTGCTGTTTGCCACAGAAGCACTAGTCAGAGGTTTAAAGGGTGACTATGTCTCCGAAACTGCCCTTCTATCTGTGGATGCGAGAGGAGGGTTGTGAGGCCAAGGGCTGGGCGTCCTTACCTCAGTGGTACTGTCTTTCATTGCCATTGGTTAAATGAACACAGAGACATTTTCCTGCAGGATAATGTCTGGAAGGACCTGCATGTTGTGGGAACTGGAGGAATTCTAAATCTGTCCTTTGATGTCCTATACGCAGCGTGTCTGCCAGGGAAGAGTCAGCGGAATTCTGTAACTCCGGGTTGGCAAACTTTCACCGCAGCAGGGCGGAGAGTAAACATCTTCAGCTCTCTGCCACAACTATTAAAGCAGCCATAGACAATGCCTAAGGAAATTGGCACTGCTGTGTTCTAATAAAACTTTATTTACCAAGTCAGGTTGGGGGCCTGATCAGACCAGCGGACCGCGGGTTTGCTGCTCACAGCATTAACTTATGGTCGATGCCCAGCAAGAGTGTGGGGAGTTAATTTGTTGAAGGCTGGTGAGTAGAAGCCTCTGCTCATCCAGATCTTGGTTTTAGCTCTGTTTACACAGGCCCAAGTCCTGTGTGCCTGCCACGGGGTCAGCGCAACAAGACCCTTCCTGCCTTTTTGCTCCCTTCCCCCAGCTTTGAGAACTCACAGGCTCATTCAAACTGGCTGCTTAATGGAGAGCAGAGATTCTGTACCTTCCAGGATGCGTTCCCCCGCCCCCGCTCCCCTCCCCCTCCGCACCCAGGGCCTTTCCCCTCCATCCCAACTTTGTGGGACACACAATTTGTAATCTCCTTAAAACCAAAGAAGCGAGGTTTCTGATTCATGTAGATTAAAATCAGCTGCAACCTATTAATGGCCCAGAGCCCAAGACAGATTTTAGGAAACAAAAACACTGGACCAAATTAGACTGAACCAGCCTCTGTCTCCAGGGGAGGGAGGTGGAGTGCGAGGCTGGGGGTGGAGGGAGTGGCCATGTGGTTTTAATTAATTTGGATTCTCTTCCTAAAGCTAATTCCTCCAACACAAAGCATGTGTAGCGAGCGCCATGGCAGCCTCTGGCCTTAGAAGCCTGCTCTCCCTGGTGGAAGAGCCTGGTCCTGTTGGGGAGCTGGGGCCACTTGTGTGTCCGTAATTAACGGGTTTCAAAGTGGTTATTTTGGAAAAGAGAATTTCAGTGGCACGTTAAAGTCCCTTCATCGGCCATCAGCTGGTGTTCCAAGGCCTTCAGCAAGGCCCTTGCCACTTAAGGCTTCAGAGAGCATGAGGTTCCCAGGGTCCCTTTGAGAACATGGAGGCTTTTGCCATGGTTTTCATGCGGCTGGTGGATGCCATGATTTTCTTACGTTGTTCGGTTACTGGGATCATAAAAATGTTTCTCTCTTTCTAGAGTGAGGAAAAAGGAAAGCCCCTGCCTCATATATCCCTGTCATGGGAAAGGGGCCATGAGGCTGTGACAGGCAGTGCTTACATCCCACCTGGGGAAACTGAGGCCACAGGAGTCCTCATCTGAAGTGGTTCTGGAGTCCTGCACCCACTGAGACACCTCAGCAGGTACTGTTTCTCTTCTTGGTGACTCCAGGCTGTGAAAAGTTGATACAAGTGGAAGAGAGGTCTGAATTCTGCTGACCTGGAGCTTTGGGATCCTTCTGTGTGGGAGGAAATGCCGAATTCAGAGGCAGCTTTCAATCAAGTGGCCAGGAGAATGATCCAGACCAGCACAGGTATCTAAAGACCTGGGAGGCAGTGGTCCTCTGGTGCTGGGACCTTTACTTGGTACACAGAGCTCCAAGCTGAGCTATGGAGAGGGAAAAAGTGGACCGAAATCTCTCCACGCTATAGAGGTGATTTCTTCTGGGTTCAGATAAAAGGCGTTTGCTGCAACCCAGTCAAAGACTCACCTGAGGAGTGGCCACAGGAGCTTCTGTTCAGGTGGCATCGTCGGATAAATTGGCCCCAGTCTGGTTTGACTTCCAATTCTGATGATGACTCTCTTCCAGAACCTTCTGCAGTGGAGAATGTGGAAAATATTCTGGGGGAACTGCTGTTCAGTAATGATGCTGTGTCCCAGAGCAGCTGGTCTTACTCCCAGGGAGACACAAGAGCTGGTCCACAACAGAGCTGTGAAGGTACGTCCAGAAAGTTACACAGCATCAGAGCTGGGAGAAGAGTTACAGTCCAGTTGGGCTTTCCTAGTAGGCATGGGGAAACTGAGGCATGCACAGAACCACATAGCTGGCGTAGGGAGTCCTGCCCACAGCTCCTGACCCTCGATGCAGGATTCGCTTATCTACATCATTCCTCCCCAGGTCAACGTTCTCCTTTGGTTTGGCGTTCTCACTGACTCATTCAATATCTACTGCCCCTCCTGTGTGTTAGACACTTCTGGGCATTGCCAACCTTGCTGCCTTGAACTTACTAAAGGGAGAAGGAGGTTAAGTTTCTGCGATGCGCATCGAAGAGGGAAAGAGACCCCTCCACTCCTCAGGAAGGCTTGGCATCTTGGGAAACATTTGCCATCTCTGGTTGTGCTCTTCAGAGGAGTATGGGGTACCATTATAGATGGGACTTAACTGATGTTCCTACCGTTTGCGTCGACCCCCCCCCCCTACTCCGAGCAGCCATCAAGGCAGCATGGCCCAAGGGGTTGTAGAAAGTGGAGGAGATTCTCTGGATGCAAGTTTGAGTGAGGCCGGGTGGGACCCTGGAGGCAAGCACAACCCTCCTCCGTCTGCTTCGCATCACTCTCCTCCCACGCTCGATTGTCAGTCCCTCGCTCTTGTTTACCTCCACGCGAATAGTTCCCTGATTATAAATCAGAGGACTTGGCACTGCGCTCTGGATTATCTGTGATCTTTAACTTTCCCAGGGCAGAAGAAATTTAAGCAGCAGCAAATCCTTTTGTTTCTCGTGGCTCGGGATCCAAATCACGGAAGTGCTGATCTGCACAGAGGGAGCCACATCCAACCTCTGGAGCCTCCACCCCAGTACTCAAGGCAGTCGGTGGGAGGTGCATGCCTCCGTTCCCTCATTTCACAGGTATCCAGTGAGTAGCCGTGTGACCGTTAACTCCATTCTAGATCCTGGACACACAGGGTAAAAATAAAGAAGACCTCTTTCTTCTCTATCCTGTTTACTGCGGGTGACAGATGTAACCAAACAAGCGTAGAGTCATACCTCGTAACCATGGGGAACTGATTCCAGGACACCCACCGATATCAGAACCCACAGGTAGCAGAACAGTGCTCACGCTTAAGCTATGTACAAGCTGTCACATACTGTGTGTCACCTCGACATTGTTTGTGATGCTGAACACAATGCAAACGCACTGCATATAATAGCCACTCTATTGTACTCTTTACAGAATAAAGACAAGGAGAGGGATCTGTGCCTGTTTGTAAGGAAGGGGACTTTCTTACTGAATGTTTTCCATTCACAATTGGTTGGATCCTCAGATTTGTGACCTGCCCATATGGAGAATGACTGTTTGCTAGTGATAAGTGCCTTGGTAAATTAACACAGGCTAAGAGATGGTGGTACACACACACTGTTTCACACACACTGGGACCTACCTCAGAGACCCCTCTGAAGAGAATAAGCCAGGTCCAGAACAGGAAGAATATCCCAGTCAGAAGGGAAGAGCGATGTGTGAAAGCCTGGGCCTGGATGAGTTTGGCTGGTTTGGTGGACATCAGGGAGCTGGCACAGAGTGAAGGGGGCACAAGGTGAAGGGTCAGAGAGGGCAGGACCTGGCCGTGGAAATGGCGACTTCAGATTTGTTCCCAGCATCACCGATATCCTCAGAGGCCTTAGCGCAGGGCTGAGGACGCAGAGATGAACACTGGAAGGTCATGGAAAGACTGGTAAGGCCGTGCCCTGGCTTGGGGTCAACGTTTGCACAGAACACATGATAGCTGTACCTCACGGGCACTGTCTCAAGTGGAAGCCTTAGAGGGAGGCCACGTATTTTGATGGGGGGAGGCTGAGCCTCGGCGCTCACTACCTTACTACCCATTAGTTGATTGGTAGTAAGCCCGGAAAAGGGAAATGCTGTTGTTTAAACAGTGGGAGTGGGAGCTGGGGAGTCACGGAACCCTCAGCCAGCAGGGCCATGACAGGCCCTGGTGCAGGGTCTCACCCTCCACCTCAGGGCCTCCAGCACAAATACAGGCCCACCTTCTAGGAGCTGGCTTTATCTTTGGCCGATTGCATATTGTCTGGTCAGTTTCCTTCCTGTGCCTTTTCCCTTGGCACAATGCCAGGCACTGGCATTTACCCGAGAGGAGACAGGGAAAGGGAAGGTGTGCATTTGGAGCTCAGCCAGGCCTGAGATTGGCTCACCTTGTCACTTCACTAGCTTTCGGGTCAACTGAGCCACGGAGAACTCCACTGACCAATCCAATAGCCATTAGCCATGTGTAACTGTATTTCAATCAAGATGAAATCAAGTTTGAAAAATGGCTCCGTGGGCTCACTCACCACGTGCCGAACACCCAATGGCTACACAGGGCCAGAGGCTCCTAGATTGGACAATGAAAACCCGGAACTTATCCTTCAAGATAAGAACTTGTGTTGACCAGTTTCCACAGGCACTGAACAGGCTGATACAAAGTACAGAGTATGTGCCTAGCTCCTGGAAGGTGCCGAAAAATGGTAGCCTCTGAGACTTCCGTGACTCTCCAAATGTGACCCTGTTACTGGCATGCTGCGTGGTGAGTCACTCACTGTCCTGTGCCTCTGTGTTCTGACATGTGAAATGGGGATAAGAGGCACTCAGGGTGCATTCCCCACAGGACAACATGATCCTTATTTTCCTTAGTAATCCCAGACCCTGGAGAACCTGCCCTGTCAACCCTCTGCTGACTGATCTAAGCCAGAATTCGGGAGCTCTGGTCCTGCTTTATTTAGTGGAAAGGTTAACATATTGTGGTTCAGTAAAGGAGTCTGGAGGTTTCCGTCATTGCTAAGGGCTTGACTATGGTTAGTGGGATAAAGTCCTAATGAAACAGACAGTTCTAATCATGAAAATATGTCTTTTGATGCCAAGCATAATGGCACGGGACTATGAGCCAAACTACTCTGAGGCAGGATTGAAAGTTCAAGGCCTGTTGGAGCAACTTAGTAAGACCTTGTCTCAAAATAAAAAAAAAAAAATTAAAACAACAACAACAACAAAAACACACAAAAAGGGCTGAGAATGCAGCTCGGCAGTGGAGCAGTTGCCTACTATGCACAAGGCCCTGGGTTCGATTCCCAGCGCTGCAAAGACAATAGACTCCTTTTGGCTCTAGCCAGGTGTTCAATCTCTCACAATACTCTGAAAGAAGCCAGGGCTGCGGATACGGGTCAGCTGGTAACACGCTCGCTGTACGTGCATGTGGACCTGAGTTCGATCCCCGGAACCCAGGTAAAAAAAGCCAGGCATGGTGGTATGTGCCACAGGGAGATGGAGACAAAACAGATCCTTCTCTTTTTTTTGCTGGCTGGTCAGCTGATCCTATTTTGTGAGTTCCAGACCTATGAGAGACCCTATATCAAAAAACCAAGGCATCTGAGAAACGCGCACACGCACACACACACACACACACACACACACACACACACACACACGCACACACACCCCAAAACCAAAACCCTGAAGTCCCACCCACCTCTTGTGTCCCTTTGGGGAGCGCCATTCTAGAGAGAGGCTCTCAAGCAGCCTTCTGGTATCTGCAGATCAGCCTCCCTTTTCTCAGGTTGGGGTTTTGTTGTGAGAGCCCCTCTGACTACAGGCATCTGGAGGGTAGAAGGTGGGGTTTGCCTGGGGCTGGGAGGAAGTCATTTGCTGGGCAGGATAATGTGTGGCTTAAGAGCTGGAGCTGAACTTCTCCCCACCTGCTTCATGCATTTCAGGGGAGATTTGTTTTCAACTCCCAATCACCTTCCAGAATTGTTCGGCTGAGATCCTATCTCCACTGCCTGTTTTCTTTCATTTCCGATAAGAAAGACAGGGGAAGAATGAGAGGCCCAAGACTAACATTCTCACACTCCCTGAAATAAAATTTCACACAGTCGGTGGCTGGCTTTGGTTTTCCAAGAAACAGGCAGTAGAGAATCTGACTGGCTGTCCCAGTCTCTGCCCTGGGGAGGCATGGCTGGAACCCGGGAAGCAAATTCCACTGGGGTCTCCGACGGGGTCTCGGAGAAAGCTCAGGGAACAACCTAACTCACCCAGTCCAATGAAAAGCTTTTTTTTTTTTTTCCTGGAGCTGAGGACTGAACCCAGGGCCTTGTGCTTGCTAGGCAAGCGCTCTACCACTGAGCTAAATGCCCAACCCCTCAATGAAAAGGTCTTAAATCTCTCCTTTCAAACTACAGCTTTTTCAATACAATGCCAGACTTTGAGCTGTTCAGATTAACACCTTGGGGTCCTCCTTGATCTCAGTCCTCTCCAGTCTCCCCCACTTCCAAGCTTCCGTTAAGTCCTGTTGGTTCCATTGTCAAAATTACCCAGAATCCAGCCCATCCTCATAGCCCCACTGGCACAGCCTGGCCTCAGCCACCCTAGTTGGTCTTCTCCACCCTAGTTGGCACATCCTGGTCTCTTCCTTAGTTGACTGCTACAGAAGCTCCTAACTGTCTCCCTCCTTCATCTCCCACAGGCTGGTCTCCCTACTTCCAGTTGCTCTAAAATGTGTTCTCAGCATAATAGTGAGATTATTTCCTGTGTCCCTTAAACCCTTCCAAACAGGCTTAAGACACACCCATCGCATTCAGAGTACAAGCTAGTTTCTACCTCGGCCACCAAGACACTAAATCACTCGGCACTGTCAATGCTCAGACCTCTCCCCGGCCTCGGTGATTCTACTCTGGTCACATTGGCCTCCTTGCTTCCTTCAGAAGGCACCAGATGTGTGTCCACCCTAGGCCATTGGCTGCAACTGCTCCCCCTGGCTAGCTTCCTCACTTTTACGTGTCTTCACTCAAATTTCCCTTCTTTGGTGAGGCTGACAGGACCCTGATCATCTGTGTTAACCTCAATACCTTTCCACAGATCTTGCATTTCCCTGTCTTCATTTTCCAATTTTTCTCTCTTGTAACTTCCTAGAAGAGCACAGAGCTTGCTTGTTTGTGATGTCTTTTGCTTCTGTGTCAGCCAGCTTCTAGAACTGTCAACTCTGGAAGGGCAGTGACCTCACTTGGGCTGTTAGTTCTTTGCGCTCGCTCGCTCTCCCTCCCGGTGCCTACAAGCACTTCCCTCACAGCTGCTCTTCTTTGCCCATTAGTGACCCCACTCTTGGAGACCATGAAGGCTAACTATGGCGCAATCCCAGCTATCGATACGGCGGAAACCAAACAAAAACAAAACACAGCAATAAAACAAGTAGGGTAAAGGGAAGAGTTAAAACTCACAAGGGGAGGTCCAGGTAGCTCACTCTGATCGTATGCATGGTGGTTGATATTCTGCATTGTGGCTACAGAAACCCGAGTTTGAAGCAGAGTCATGGCGTTGTGGGAACAATGGTATAGTAGGGAAGTTTCCCTTCTTCGGGGCTGGCGAGTTGTCTCAGCAGTTAAGAGCACATACTGTTATGACAGAGGATCGGGCATTGATTTACAGCAACCACATCTGGCAGCTCACAAACCTATAACTCCAGTTTCAGGAAATCTGATGCCCTCTTCTGGCCTCAGCAGGTACCTGCACTCATATGGTACACATACAACGCACATAGGCACACACACACACATTTAAAAAAAATCTTTGAAGACTCACAAAGGAGTCTTCAATAACCAGCTATTAAGCCAGACATTAAAGAAATTTTCAAAAATGTGCAATGCTGTTGTTCTTTCTCACCGAGTTTTGCTTTGTTTTAGTAAGTGTAAGCAGTTATTTTTACAATAAATGGTTATTTTTCATTCAAAAGAAACAGGGCCTCAGCTAGGGCTTGGGGAGGGCTAAGTGACTGAGACGCTGCCGAAATGATGGCCTAACTGTCAATCATAGGAGACAATCAGTAAGTAAATAGCAAAGACTTTAGGGATATAGACCAATTTCTTCAGGCTAGCGATCTCAAACCACTGCATTGTGCCCTGAAGTTTTATTGAAGACCCCCAAAGAGTCTCCGTTTGTGGGGATTCTATCTATTGGTAAATCCTGGAGCGACAGTCTCTGGATTCTCATCAACTAGAATGCATGCTTGTGTTTGCTCACCCAGAGCCAGTCCATGTCACAAATAAATAGTGACAGGAGTGATGGTGTGCGGTTCAGAAGCAGGGTCATAAAAGGACCTGCGGGTTCTAACCAGTCTCCTATGCTCACTCTGAAGAAGGCCAGTCACGGTGGTTTGAGTAGACTGGGAAATCTCACGGAGAAAAGCCAAGCCCTGCCATCAACAGCCAGCGACTGGCCAGGCTGTGAGTCAGCTGTCTCAGGGCAGATCCTCCAATCCAGTGCTTCCCAAACTTCCCAATGCTGACACCATTCTGATACAGTCCCTCATGTTGTGGTGACCCCCTAACCCAAAAATTATTTGTGCTACCACTTTGTAACTGTAATGTTGCTACTGTTATGAATCGTAATGTAAATATCTGATATGAGACATCAAGGGGTCCTGACCCACAGATTGAGAACTGATGCCTAACCTCTGTACCGCTTTCTGATAGCTACAACCTCCTGGGACCCTGACCCACACAAGGCATACCTGGGTCTCAGCAGCTATGGGAAACAACCAAGGAGTATTGTTTCTTTACTCCAATGGGCTGGGGGGTACTTTGTTATGCAACAATAAATAAATGATTTTTATTATATTATAAATGAAGACAGAAAATAATGTTAGTGCATTTATACTTATTCATTTAAATGAATAAATTTAATATTTAGTCATTTGTTAAAAAATTAATTCATTTAAAAATTAAAATAACCATTCACTGCAAAAAAACCCTGCTTACTAAAACAAAATAAAACTTGGGGAGAAGAGCGGCAGCATTGTACATTTTTTGCAAATCTAATGTCTGGCTTAATAGAAAACAGCTGGGTTCTCGTATCTACTTCTGCAGCCAATCAGTTGTGCCGATGTTGTTTTGGTCGCAGTATGGGAAGGAAACACAGCCTCCCTCCACAGACACATTGTTGGAAAAGAGAGGAACCCTTTAATGGCCCTTTCAGACAATTACAGGTCTTCATTGACATACTGAAGGTTATTTGCGATGTGGACTCTGAAACCGAGGCAGTGAACTCCGTGTACTTGAGTACGTTAAAACCACTGGGTCCGGCTTGTACTTTGAATAGGTCTTTGGGGTATGCTTGGGTCATTTGGAAAATATTGCTTCATTAAACTATGCAGATCTAACCAGTTTGATATATTCCGTGATGAAAACTAAAACTCTGTGTTTGTTAATGACACTGTTGATTTAATCAGAAAGGTCTGTAAGTGTGGGGATGTGGGGAAAGTGCCAAGCTCTCTGGGGCACATAGAAGTTTCCAGAAATCCTAAGTTTAGCTCCAAGCTTCTATGTTGACCTCATAAACTGTCCATTATTTTTGTATGGTAATCTCAGGTAGTTGTTTTGCTGTGCGTTTTTTTTTTTCTTTCCATTTTTCATTCTTCAGAAAATGTCTACCAAATAGTCTGCCGACTGCCCATGGTTATCTGGCCTTTTGCCTTCTGTGAAAGTGGCTCGTTTCACTGACAGCACCCCCTTATTCTTCCCTAAGACAGTCAGTTCACAGCAGGATTTGATAGCTGGGCTCCACACCTCTGTCTCAGCTCATCATACAGAATAGAAAACAAGCGAACTGTGGGCAAGCTTTCATAAATTGCTTCATTTAGAACATTCTGGAGTGAACCTGGCGTCCATGTAACCTACCCCAAAAGTCTATAGCTCCGAAGACTACTATGATGGTCAGAATAGTCTGGCACCAGCAATTTTAACCAAATGTCAGCATGGTAAGAAAGGAAACAGCATCTTGCTTTATTATGAAAGTGTTTGTAGCCTTGCAGACACCCCGGTAGTGTCTCATGGGTTGCAGAGGTCCTTCAGACTCACCACGAGAGCCAGGGCTTTTAGGAATATGTGCCATTGCATTAGGTGTCCCGTTTCAGGTGACTGTGCTATGTGCTAAGTCATGCATGTACCAAGCCTTTGCGCGCAACTGTAGTAGCCGCCTTTCCTATAGCTAGAAAATTTATCACTAAAGAGCAGCCTTTTCCAATGGTTAGATTGGGTATGAAACAGGTTCTTTATTTAAAGTCAATTAGGGTCATCTTCATGCTTTCGTTTGTCCCACTTGTAAGTCTGAGAAATAGAGCAGACGAGGAAGCCAATCCCTGCTCCCTTCCTATGTGGCTCTGATGCTCCTCTTCATCTGAAGTGCGCTGAAGCTCAGCGGATGCAGAAAAGCCCCCTTTTCAAACCAGTAGGTTTCCTTCTTGCTCCAGGCCCGAGCTGGTGAGGCTCTCATGCCAGCAGTACCTGCGAGGTCTACCTAGAGAGCAGCCGGCTGTGTAGAAGGGCCGGGACCTTACCTCTTCCACAGTGCCTACAGACTCCTGCCACAGAGCAGGGAGCTGTTGTTTTCTCATTCTTGCTCAGTTTAGCTGGCAGAAAGGCAGAATAGGCTTGAACCCTACACCTCACTGGTCCATCGGTCTATGGTTAGTGACTGTGTGGCTCTTCTGTCTGAGGGCGGGCCCAGGTCTGTAGGCAGGAGCAGCAGGCAGCCATGTCCTAAGCCCTGGGAACTGGAGACCTTTACACATCTGTTCGCCTGGTTGGGGGGCAGGAGGAAGTCACCAAAACCTTCCAACATGAGACCAGAGCCGGGAAACAAAGGAGACGCCTTAAGAGGCCAGTGACCTTGGGTCCTACAAGCATCCCACGGACCTCCTCCATCCCCTTTTGTACTTTCGGGTCCCCGACACCCAGTCTTTTCATCATCCTCCAGGTCAACAGGATCGGGTTGACGGGAGATGAGCAGAAAGCTTATCGGATGAAGGTGTTTGAGATGCCCTTCCCGCTAGAAACCAGCTGAGTAAGATGAGCAGTGGGGCCAAGGCCAGCATCCCATACTAACTGCACCCTCCCCTTTTTTTTTTTCCTCTTCCTTCTTCCTCTTTTTCTGGTTTGGAGCCACACGGGATCACTGGAAACCAGTCACCGGAGCAAACCATGAGAAGACTTGAGGATTTAGGGAAAGACTTAGAAGACATGCATCCCATACTAAATAGTGACCTTCTGCACTAAGAGCGGGGACCAGCATGCGGAACCTTCCAGAAGCTTCCATGGCATGCCGCCACCCTATGGTATGCTGGAACCGTGGGCTTGCACATACTTTCCCCCATCTTCACAGCTGGGACAAATCTCAGACATGGTAGTTTGAAGTGAGAGCAATGGGCATATTTGCACCCCAGATTTTGGCAAGCTGCAAATCAGACTCCCTTGCTGATTGCCATGCATTTACCGACCCACCAGGGCCTCCACCATAGCAATTATCTATCCTTCTCCATATTATTCCCAGGGGGATTACATTAGAATTCCAGAGAGATGAGATGGAGTGGGAGTGTTGCTGTTTAACATGTAGATTTCCTGGCCATCCTGAACTAAGGAGGTCTGTTTCTCTGGAGGCAGAGCCGGTAGGAAAGCTCCCTTAGCAAACCCCTAAGGCTATTAATAAATTCAATAAAATTTGAGACTTCAGGCTTAGGGAGTGGGAGAGGAGAGTGGGTGTGCATCTGGCTCTGGCATCTGGAATAAACAGCTGGCGTCAGTCCCAGTTGGCTTGAGAAGCGGCAGCTGTTTTACCTCGAGATATAACTTCGTGACAGGAAAAGGAGGTGGGAATTCTGGGGTTCCAGCTACTCACTGACAACACAATTGGCTCTGCGTTGGATCTCAGGATGTCTCCACTTTGCAGCCTTGAGATTTTGACCCAACGCAAGCACGTGCCCAGATAGATACATGCCCCATCAAGAAGAAAGTCCTCCCAGTTCCATCCTGCAGTGTGGCCAGTAGGGCACAGGGAGCCCTCGGCCAGCCTGAGACTAGGAGAGTCGTCCTTTCAGAAGTGTACAGACAGAATCAAGAACTTTCAAACTAGGCTTGCTTTTCAAAGCAAAGACCCATGGACTGCCTCCCATTGAGCCAGGA